ATAGAATGAATTGCTATTTTTGGTAGGGTTCTGTATATTCCATAAAAAGAACCTTTCTGTATATAATATTTTCCTATAAAATAATATAGAAAATGTTACTCCGGATTTTCGGGGTCGTTGATCAGCGAATTAAGGTCAAATTCGCATTCCGGTGACAATATCCCTATCATCGCTTTAACAGCAACAGCAACTTCTGAAGTAAGATCTGATATAATAAATATTTTAGGAATCCAGGGTTGTAAAGTTTTAGTGCAAGAAATTAATCGAGAAAATTTGTATTACAAAGTATGTGGGAAAGAGAATGACAATAGTAAATCATTGCAAAATCTTGTTAAACTTGTTAAAAGTTATAATGGAAAATCGGGAATCATTTATTGTACTACCAAAAAATGCAGTGAGAATGTTGCACAATTAGAGATGAATGCGCATTGTGCGCACGTAATTTTTGAAGTAATTTTTTTTGTACATAGTAATAAATGTAATGCAAAAAAATCTAAAATTTTTTTTTATTATGAAATATTATCCAAATGACTCAAGAAAATTTTGGTCACAATTACTACATTATAAACAACATACTAGCTTGTTTAGCATGGTCAACTATAGGTGAAACAGATTTGGTAACATAGTGGAAAGGGAATTTTTCATTAGTTGCCCTTGAACTGACTAATCTTGCTGTACAAATTCTTTAAATCCTATATCTTCAGCAGCACCCAAAAGAAATTGGTCTGCGTTCTCATATATACATGATAAAAAAAGAAATAGACCAACATCTGGTATGGTTTTCAAATTAGTGTTTATTTATTTTAATTATAATTACAAAAATCCAAAAAATCAAAATAAATTAAAAGATAATGTCAATGGAAACACTATGATACTGGTAATGATAATGAGGAACAGGAAGATGACGTTAGTGAAGTGAAAATGATGATAGTGGTGTATATACATCTGAATCAGTGACTAATATTAGTGATTAGAATCTGTTTTGTTTTTTTTAATAATAATAAAAAATTTTTTTAAAAAAATAAAAAAAATCGTGCGCATGAAGTTTGAAATTTTCATGCAATTTCCTATCCCTATGCAAGATTGTTCTGGTTGTGTATACAATAAGATGCACTACACTAGCAAAATCGACCAAAACAATACGGACGAAATAAAAAATCACTTGTAAGTTGAAAACTTTTTCAGATAAAAAATACAAAAAAAAAAATCTTTTGCTAACTTTGATTCCTCTTTTTTTTTTAGTCATTATATACATAGGAATAAAGGTTATACCGAAACTGATCCAACGTATGTAGATAATAACCCAAATATCAGTGATGATGTTGTAATGAATTTAAATGAAGATTTGAGTTTTGAACCCGAAGCTGAAGTTGAACCCGAACCCGAATTTGAATCTGAATCTGACTCAAGTTCTGATGATGATAAACCCTGGGAGGATGTGAATATGAATCGAATTGAAACTTTTACTATTGTAAATGAGGCTTACACTTCAACAAAAAAAAGCAGGACTTTTTATCCGGGGGGTTCAATCAGGACACAACAAATACATGCCAGAGATTTGAAAATTGCAGCAGTTGGATCTTCTAAAATTACTAGATTTTTTGGTGTTCAAACTCCTAATAGAGATCAATCTCTTGATGATGATGACAATGACAAAGATGAAGATGATAACTGGAGAAATATAATAGATTCTGTTGAAGAAGCTCTTAGAAACCCTGATTTAGACAATGATACAAAGTTTAGATTAACAGCAATTGGGATGTATTTTAGAAATTTAGATAATGGTAAAAAAAAGGTTGAAGCAAGCGAGATAGTGACAGTATCTCTGGGGTGGACAAAAAATTATAAAAGTAAATCCATTAGAGCCTGGGCCAAACAATGGATCAGAATAAAACTGTACCTACTTAAAAAAGAGGGAAGCACCCCAAGATGCAAAGCCTATGGAGTCATGAAGACATTGCTGATCAAGTAGGAAGTTATGTACGATCCAACAAATTTGATATAACACCTAAAAATTTATGTAAGCATGTCAATGAAACAATATTGCCAAATATAGGAGTGGATAATGAAGATAAAAAAATATCCGAATCAACAGCAAAAAGATGGCTTAAAAAGTTAGGATGGGAGTTTGGCACCCATGAAAAAGGACTTTATGCTGATGGTCATGAGAGGGATGATGTTGTAGAATATAGAAAAAAATTTCTAAAATTTATAGAAGAGCAATACGAAGCCAACCAAAGATGAGAGATACTGTATTCAATGGTGTTGAACAAAAGATGGTCGATCCTGATGGAAAGCAGAAAGGAATGAGAACAATATTAGTAGAAAGGGGACTGTATAGGGATGGATTGAGAAAGGTATGTTCCGAATGTAAAACCAAGAAATCAAGGGATCAAAATAGAAAGTCAGATTGTTGTGGTTTGAAAATATTAGAACTACAACCTGATTTTCAAGCACAAAAAGGAAAGGGATTGAAGCAGTGGGACATATGGTGATCTTCTACCCTAAGTTCCATTGTGAACTAAACTTTATTGAGATGTATTGGGGTGCAGTTAAAAGATATACAAGGGAAAATTGTGATTACACTTGGAGTGGACTTTTGAATACAATACCTTTGGCCTTGGACTCTATCCCAATTTCATCTATAAGAAAATATCCACGTAGATCCTTCAGATACATGGATGCATATAGAAAAGGATTGTCTCTTAGTGCTGCAGAATATGCCATAAAGAAGTATCGTTCTCGCAGAAGAATTCCAAATAATGCATTGGATGAGGTGTCATCTATTAATTAATGAATTATATATATATATATATATATATATATAGTTAGTTATTTATTTATTTTTATTATGTAAGTTACCTTATTTTCTAAATAAAATTTCTTCCAATTTGTTCATTTTTAATATATACAATATATATAAAATACTCTTTTACAAAATCAGTTTCGAAACAAGTAGTTCCTCTTTATCTATCCAATCCAGTCTCCTTGTGTTTGTTATCATATGAATTATGTGCAACTGGGTTATAACTTTTCATCTCCGTTATACACCACTACTAACATTATTGCTTAGAATTTATATACCAAGTTTTTTACAGATAATTCAGTTTTGTAGTTTCCTTTAAGAATTTTAACAGAACCAACCATACCCACTAAAAACCAACCATACCCACTAAAAATAAAAAAAGGCAAGTCTTTGTTTCTTGTTGGTGCAAACTAGAGATTGGAATTGGTCAAAAATTTGTTGGTCATTTTTTTTTGAACGATTAATCATTCAATAATCCGTGCAACAAACAATATTTATAAATAAAATATATATACAAGCTCTTTAATAACGTTAGGACTTAATATTAAATTAGTTCGTTTTATAGTAATATTATTACCTACATCACTAAACAATCTTTCATTAGCCACTTCCATTCTGAACTTGATGTTGTTTTGACTGAAGTTGATTTTTTAGAACTTCCTTAATATTGAATTGCGAAGAAATATTCCATGTACCAAAATTGGGCACAAATATTTCTAAAAAAGAATAATTTAAACAACATTTTTTCAATTAATCGACTTTTTGAAAAATTAATTGATTAACCTTTGACTGATTAATTGAAAAATTATCTTTTTAATTGATTAATTGTTTTTTGACCAATTAATCGATTCCAATCTCTAGTGCAAACTGGGACCAATTTGATGCTTATTTTCAAAACTGATTCAAAATTGGGACTGATTTGATACCTGTTTTAACTTCGAAACTGGTCCAATTGTTTCACCTTTACAAGAGAGATCTTGAAATAAAGAAATCTATATGTCTCTTTTTGGCCACAATATAAATAATTTAATATTAACCAAAAATGGAACGTTAGTTTGACTATTGCATTAAATAATCTGTAGAAATTAATGATCTTTGTGCATAATTTTATATGTAAAATTGAAGAAAAAAATCACTCGGGTATACACAAACCTACCCAATTTAACCAAGATTGTTCCTTGAATTGTAAAAATAAAAAATATGAGAAATAATTGATTTTTGGAAAATGTTGTAATCTGTTGTATATATTATTGTTTTGAAACTGGATTAATAAGAGTTTCCATTTTAGTTAGTTATGGTTCTATTTTTATCATCTGATTTTATTAATATAGGTTATTACTATAAGAGCAAAAAAATTGTAAACGAT